GAGCCAAAGATGTTAGAATTGTGTCGATGTCCCAATATTTCTGGACCTGACTGTACATTCTCTTGATGGTTAACTCAGGTTCTTGTCTGATATAAGACAAGTGTCCATGGGGAAGGGATGAGAGTGGACAACTGACGTTACAAACATTGCAAAGAAAATGACATACTGTATATCATTTGCATTGTGACAAAGCTGACATGTAACTTGTATCGTGTGCATGATGACTTTATGAAACATGACAATATCATGGCTTTTACTAGGCATCTGGATGGATGGATGTACCTATGCTGGATACTATTTGATTGCCTGTGTCTGTTATTGGAAAGGGAAAGTTTGAAGGATATAGTTATAATTTAAGAATTTAATACCTCCAATCCTATTCTCATCTCAATAAATTGTTTTGGTACCAAACATGACCGTGCAGACTTTTCATGCATAAATCCACTGAAAAACATCTCAATTTTAAGACCCTACTAACGTAGGGATCACTGCTTTAATACTGATAATACATATATAGTCAAACTCCTATCAGATTGGAGCAAATCCTCTAGCAATCCACCAAAACATTACATTATCCTACTCATCTTTGATGTAGAATTAAGAAAAAACCTGATTGCACACTGTACTAATAGAATAGCTAACCTGCCCACAAACATCAGAAAAACATAAATTTACATTCCACTTTCTTATTTTACAGCATCAATAATCAAATGTAGATTTAAAACAACTTGGAGAAAGATTTATTGTAAGAGAACTCCATTTGTTGAGTTGTCAACTGATAATAACTAGTTGTCATTTGATAATAACTATTTAGGAACTGTAGTTTAGGAACCTCTACGATTATAGGTGGCTTAGTTCTGGAAGTGACTGTACACTGTCAATGTTTATTCTGCTATCCATCTGTGTTGTTTATAGAATGCCGTGTTATGAAATCATCTTATTCTCGCGCATCTGGAACAACGAAGTATTCTGGATCTAAAAGTCCTGGACCTTCACGTCGAAGCAAGTCCCCAGCTTCAGGTACAGTAATTGGAAGCAGAACTACTGTTTAGAACTTTGTTTTTTTTTTCTTCCATACAGAGCTCAACACCTGTGGTAGAACCAAACAGTCAGAACAATCAGAAATTAGAGACTAAACATTTAAAAGGTACAAAAACTGCCAGTACAATAAATAAAATGAAATATAAAACAAGGAATAAATATATCTAAAACCATGTGAAAAAACATGTAATGTGCTGCAGCAAATAATAAAGCTTAATCTCACTCTTAAATGTCCAGTAATATATAAACATCTCTAGGGAGGGAATTCCATAGAGGCACCACAGGAAAGGCCATAACTGTGATCATTGCCTGCTTCACTAACAACAAGGAACATGTGAAGATATTTAAGGAAATCTGAGCACTCAACCAAGGTCCCTCAAAGCAACTTACAGCCCTTAAGCTACTATAAATCTAAGCAAGGGATGTGCCAAATATTCCATGCACAAATTGTTCTATGCATGGAACAACTGTTTTCAAGTGGCCCATGCCTGACCCCAGACATGCATTTCTGAAGTATTTCTGTCCATGGAGGGACAAAATTGAACTGTTTTGTTTTGGGCAGAAGTTGGGTGGGGAAGGAGGGACACTGGGAGCTGAGAAGAGTAGAAAGTAGCTGAAATTATCAGGGTGGGTGGACTGGTGGGCTGTGCTGTGCTAGGACATGGTGGTGGTTGATTTTTAACTGATTAGTGTATGCTCTTTTGATTTCTGTTGTTTTTGTATTTTTGTATTCCTTGTTTTTAAACGTTTTTAACAAGTGGGAGTTTTGTTGCTGGGAGTTGGGCGGTATATAAATTTACTTTTTTATTATTTTTATGGTTGGTCTCTCAGTCAGCCAGATGTATAGACTGTATTTGGCACTGTTATCCACCTATCGCGTCCTTCCCAAAGACCTGGGATAGGCAGATGTTGTTTGATGGTGTTAAAAGTATCATCACAGAATGTAAGCTGTTCTTTTGCAATTGACTGATGGTGATTTTGTCAAAGCTGATAGTGTTCAAGTGGTGCTCCAGATGTTTTGGGATTGCACCCAAGGTGCCTATTTCCATTGGTACTCTCTTTGCTTTCTTTTGCCACAGTCGTTCTACTTCTATTTGCAGATCTTTGAAATTTTGAATTTCTCCAGTTCTTTCTCTTCTATTCTGCTGTCTCCAGGTACTGCGATGTCCACTATCCAGGCTTTTTTATCTTTCTTGTCAACAGTTGTTAAATCTTGGGTGTTATGTGGCAGGTGCTTATCTGTTTCAATTCCAAAGTCCCAGGGCACTTTAGCTTCTTCATTTTCTATTACTTTGTTCTGTGGTCCCACCAGTTCTTACTTGCAGGCAAATGGTATTTCTTGCAGATATTCCAATGTACCATTGTTGCTACTTTGTCATGCTGTTGTTTGTAGTCAGTCTGTGCAGTCTTCTTGTAGCAGCTAACTAGATGGCC